TCTAAGTAGAACGTGTGTGGTGATCGGACACAGCTGACATTATTCTGTCCTCACCTTCAAGAATAAAGTCCTCACTTAGCTGCGTCCTCGTCCATTCTAAAAATGTCCTCTTTTCTTCGCCATATGTCCTTTATTTTATTGAAGACCTTGATTTAAAAGAGAGTGAGGACAGAGGAAGAGACTGAGGACAGAGGAAGAGAGTGAGGACAGAGGAAGAGACTGAGGACAATGTTAAAGAGTGAGGACAGAGGAAGAGAGTGAGGACAGAGGAAGAGACTGAGGACAGAGGAAGAGAGTGAGGACAGAGGAAGAGAGTGAGGACAATGTTAGAGAGTGAGGACAGTGTTAGAGAGTGAGGACAGTGTTGGAGGACATGTGTGGACAAAGGACAAAGTCAGGAGGTTATTTGACTTTTTTTTTTTTTTAAATCAAGGTCTTCAATAAAATAAGGACATTATGGGAGAAAAGAGGACATTTTTAGAAAGAGAGGACGTCAGTAAAGTGAGGACTTTTATTCTGAAGGTGAGGACAGAATAACGTCCAGCTGTGTCCTGCATCACTACATCATGTTACTGTTATTAAACGATAATAAAAACAATAGTAGGAACGTTGTTCCAGCCGATACGTGACGCTGTTACGGTTAATGGGGCCAATATGAAAACAATAATCACTGATTAAACGTAGTCAATATCAGTGATTTAATGAGCTCATTACACAGAACATAGATAAAATCTGCCGCGTGCATGTGCGCGCGCGTCTACTGCACCTTGTCGCTGAGGTCCTCTTTGTGCCGCGCCGCGCCGCTCCTCCTCCTCAGTTTGATGGACGGGGAGCGCAGCAGGTTCTTGATGCGGCTGCGGATCGTGCCGCTTCCCTCCGCGGTCATCGCGCTGTTAGCTGCCCGGCTAGCTGCCTCTATCAGCGGCTGGAGTCTGTCTCTGTCGCTCTCTCCTCCACCGCTGCCGCTACTGCGGTCATGCCGTCTGCGAGCCGAGCCGTGCCGGGCCGGAGGATTCAGCTAGCCTGGCTCTGGTTCTGGACTGATCCGGGTCACGGGCTCCGGTTCCGCCGCTGCTCCGCATCTTATTTCTCCGCCGCAGCGAAGAACCGAGAGACACAGCGGATTCCACAAGAGCCAGACCGGACTGAGCCTGACGCACCGCCGGCGTCAAGACCGCATGCGGCAACCTCACTGACACTTCCGGCCTGGGTTTTCAAGATAAAACTACCAGGAGTTCGGGCTGACAGCTTTTAAAGAATACTTCAGCTTTTCCATTTTTAATTAAACTCTTCTAATTACAGAGAACGACACGTTAACTGACAGTTTTACAAGCTCAGATGAAGACACAGGTGTGTGATGAAGACACAGGTGTGTTATGAAGACACAGGTGTGTGATGAAAACACAGATGTGAGATGGAGACACAGATGTGAGATGAAGATCTGCTCATTGCTGCTCACAGGTTGAATTTTGGCTGATTGATCTTCTTCCCTCTGTGGAAGGAAACAGGAGTCTCCACCTGCTGCTGTGATTATTATTGTTCTTACCTGTGAAATAACAAACTATTTCCAGGTGTTTCAGGAGTCAAATAAACAGATTTTCTCTGTAAAAAGAAAAATGAGTTATGAAGGTTATGAAGACCACAAACTGGGACCAGGATCTTTATCTCACTCTGGTGGTTTTTTCATGTTTAAAATTCTGAAATTTAGTTTGACCAACTTTATTTTCTAAATTGAATTTAAAGATCTGAATAAAAATAAAATTATAAATGAATCTGAGCAGCCTGTATATAGATTTTGGATTATTGGACACATTTATTTTCTGAATATACTAATCCTGAAAGAAAAGAAAAGAAAAGAAAAGAAAAAACTTCACAACATTTATTTTGAAGAAAATTCAAGACATTGATTCAGACAGATGGTTTTCAGAGTAAATTATTCCAATGCTATAAATTCAGTTGGGATTAAATTTCACACTCTGGTATTCAGTTTCATATATATATATATATATATATATATATATATATATATATATTAAAAGCAACACTCTTCCTGCTTAATATAAAAGTCTACTAGCTGATGTGTTCAGGTGAAGTCCTGTAAAAGAAAGACCTTCCTTAGTTTCAGTGTTTCAGAATAAAACTCTTCAGCTTTTAAGATTAAATAAATATATAGATTAATAATAAATAAAGATTAAATATAAATGTTACTTGTTATTTAGAGAATCAAACCTGGAGTCAGAGTCCATATTCAAACTTTATTTATACTCGTGGTGCAGTACTGTGAGACGTCTGTGTTCAGACAACTTATATTTACATCAGAACGTTTGTCTAATGCGTACAAAAATACAAATGTAAAAAAAACAAACGGCACAACTGTACACAACTGTACAAACATCAACCGGTTCAACACAAAGAAGCAGCTTCATCTGAAAACAGTCGTCTGACACAAAACACCACACTGATGCTTTCACTGTCCTGTGGTGCCGCGTGAACACTGAGCAGGTGAGGGTGAGTCCAGGTGAGTCCAGGTGAGACACCAGCCGCTGTTTCCTGTTGAGACTCTTAGTGTTTTTATTAAAATATGAAGAAACTTGTTTTAATAAATCAGTTTGTTTCTTTGTCCAGTGACTGAATATTTCCTCCTGACATGAGGTTTTTCTGCGTCCTGTTAGAAAACTGAAATGAATCAAATGCGACTACACAAAGTGTTTGGCTTCATCTCACAGCTGCTCCACACAAACAACATGGAGGGAGATTAGAGTTCAGACTTTGAGGAATACATTTCTAGAATAAAGTTTAAGTTTAATTTCACATGCAAACGTCTTGATGTTTCTCCTCTTTGTTTGAGCGTCACTCACTCGACTGGATTAAAATTCACACGTCCAATTTCAGTAACTTGGTTTTTTTTATCAGTTTGATCAAAAATGAAAGAAAAACATTTGAGTGACCTGAATAAAGTTGTTTTGACTCTAAAGTTTTCAAAGCAAATTTATTCAGTGATGGTTTCAAACTTAAATATTTCAATATGTTTTAAATGTATTTACATTTTGCAGTTCGGTTCCGTCCAATCAGAGCAACTTGATTCTTCTTCATTCTGAGTTTCAGGTTTAGTTGTCACCTGCCTCCTGCAGTTTTGCTGAGGACTGTTGGACGATATCTGACATTTACTGATCAAATAACGATCAGTGATCAATAATGAAAATAACCCTGAGCTGCAGTATCATGAAATCACATGATGATGTCACAAGGAAGAAACTGAATCACAACACTACGACTCTTTTCTCCAAATATCTCCACCTCATTCTCAAAGGTGTGTTTTCAGTGTGATGTCTCTCTCACACACACACACACACACACACACAGACTTACAGACTTACACACACACACACATACACACACAGACACACACACACACTTTCAGGAAGCTTCTGTTGAGTCTGCAGAGAAGAGGCTGCTGGGTTTACATTACTGACGTCTACACACACACACACACACACACACACACACACACACACACACACACACACACACACATCTTTGGATATCAGAGAGGCACTACATTACATGAACATGTGTCTGATTTATGATCCTGCTCTGGCAACAATCATGAAACCATGAAACTAAAAAGCAACATCCACAGCAACAGTTACCCGGCAACTGTTACCTGGCAACTGTTGCCCACACAGTGGCTCTGGTTGCGTGTTGCTGCCTTGACAAGTTTAAGTTCAGAAAAACAAAATAAATAAAAGACAAACAAACTAAACAAAATCTCAGATCATCTGTAAACATCAATGAAAGGTTTGACTGGTTGTCAAGGCAACAGCAGGGCTTCTGATTGGCTGTCAGATGTGTGGTGTTTCTGTTTTAGAGGAAATCATTAGACAATTCTCAGGAATTAAACATCTCAAACAGCCAGAGCCAAAAAGAGAGCGTTCTCTGACTGTTGACCAATGAGAGCCTGAACCTGCTGTGACATCATCAGTCAGGCGGTGTGATGTCAGCTGGGCAGGTTTCCTCTCAGCCCCAGAGGAACAAGCCTCGGCATTGGCCTCCAGGCCACGCCTTCCTCCATCCTCACCCCTCCCCCGCTTCTCCCTGCTGCTGCTGCTCCGTCACTGCTGGCGGGTTCTGCCACTTTGACTCCACCCACTTTCATTTGCAGCAGAGGGGGCGGAGCCAGGACACCACCTTTAGTGTTCTCGTTGGCCAGTCCGGTCTGAGGTCCGACATGCGTCGTCTCTGCGTGTCCCTGAAGCCCCGGCTCCTCCGTCTCCATGGTAACAGTGTAGTCAGGGTCAGGGTCTGGCTGCAGGGCCCAGGGGCTGCGGGCGTGGCCCTGTTCATTGGCTCCACCCACTGTGGCATCAGTCTCAGACAAAACCCCCGCTGTTATTGCCGTGGAGACAGTCTGCTGGTTGAGGAAGACGATCTCGTTGAGGAGGGACGTCAGACTCTCGGTCTCACCGTCCCCTCTGGTCCCTGGACCCAGAGGCCCCCCCACGCTGAGCCCAACCCGATGATCAGCGCTCAGACCTGGGCACAGCGAGGACAACGGGGCCGGGGTGGAGGGTGGAGACGACGACGAGGAGGACTCAGGTCTGGTGTCAGTCTGAGATGGAGCCTGGTCCTGGTCCTGGTCCTTGATCTGGTCTGAGGAGAGGTCAGGTCCAGCAGAGACCACCAGGGGAGGAGGAGGGGTGGGTTCACCTGCTGGGACCAGCTGTTGTTGTTGTTGTTTAGTTGCTGGTTGAACCAGGTGCAGCAGGTTGTTCAAGTTTGAGGCTGTAAACAATAGAAACAGTTTAGACGAGTTAATCTTGAACAGTTAGTTATTTAGTTAACGAGAGTGAGTTAGTTATTACAGTTAGTTACTCATTCACTTAGTTATAAGCTGAGTGGTTGGTTAGTTATTCAGTCAGTCAGTGAGCTGGTGAGCGAGTTACTTATTCAATATAGTTAGTTATTCAATCAGTCAATCAGTCAGTCAGTCTGTGTAGTCGGTTAGTTGGTTACTTATTTAGTCAGTAAATTAGTGGGTCAGTTTGTAACTCAGTTATTTAGTCAGTGTAGTTGGTTAGTCTGTTAATTAGTTAGTAATGTAGTAGGTGAGTTAGACAGTGAAGGTGGTGAGTCTATGTCCTAGTAAGTACTTAAGTCAGTCAGTCAGTCAGTCAGTGAGCTAGTTATTGTGTCAGGCAGTTTGTGAGTCAGTCTGTTCGTAAATAAACGACTCAATAAATGAGTGAGTTAGCTAGTTAAAGTAGTTGGTTAGTTATTTTGTCAGAAAGTTAGTTTTGTTAGTTTGTTTGTTAGTTGGTAAGAGTCAGTTGTGAGTTATGCTGTTGAGTCATTTAGTCAACTACTATTCAGTTGGTTAGTTATTGAGTTAGCGAGTTAGGTATTTTGTCATTTTAGGTAATAAGTTAGTTATCTGTAAGGTTAGTTAGTTTAGTTAGTCAGTGAGTGAGTGAATCAGTTAGTTAGTTACCTGTTAAGTTAGTAACGGTGAGGGGGACGGAGCTGCTGTAGATCTTACCGGTTGTGGGGTGGGGCTGTGAGGTGAGATGGATCTGCTGATTGGCCAGACTGGGGATGTTGAGGGTGACTGAGGCCACACCTACAGACAGGAAGAGTCCACATTTTACTTTCAAAATTAAAGCATGTTGAGGCAGAGAGCAGAGTGATTGGTCAGTCAGTACCTGGTGTAGAACCCGTCTGCAGAACCGTTGGTCCCGACATCAGCGGGCTCAGGGTCAGGACCGGTTGTCCTGGCAACGTCGCACCAACCAGAGACAGAGTCGGTACGAGAGACTGAACGGACGTTGCTTCGCCTGTACAGACACACAGGTGTTGATCACAATGACAACAGGATGTCAAAGGTAAAATACCATAAAATAAATAAGATAACGTAAGTAATCGTAAAATGATGTACGATGATGTAAATTACTGTAAAATAACTTAAAATTACGTAAAATGACGAATGCTCACACTACTGACATTAGTAACAGTCAAGTGTCTTAATGTAAGTTCATGATTCTGTTGCTGAGCTGTAACACTGACAAACTAACTCACTTACTAACCAATTAACTAACTCACTGACAAACTAACTCACTTACTGACCAATTAACTAACTCACTGACAAACTAACTCACTTACTGACCAATTAACTAACTCACTGACAAACTAACTCACTGACCAATTAATTCACTTACTGATCAACTAACTAACTCACTTACTTTTAACTCTCTAACCTGTTAATTAGTTAGTGAGATACTTTGTCTGATTATCAATTAGATAACTCACTGACCAACTAACTCAATTACAGACCAACTAACTCACTCACTAACCAACTACCTGACTAAGTCACTTGCTGACCAACTAACTCTCTGACCAAGTAACTCACTTAAACACCAATTAACTAACTTACTGACAAACTAACTCACTCACTAACCAACTAACTCACCCACTAACCAACTAACTAACTCACTCACTTACTGACCAACTAACTAACCTCCTCACTTACTATTAGTTAGTGAGATACTTTGTCTGACAGCGAGACAGTGTATATGTGAGACTTGTGTAAGTAACTGAGTTAAAAATCAGCTGATCAATCAATAATCTATCGATATATCTCCATCTTTGAATCTTACCCTCCACAGTCTTTTTGAGCAGAGACGATGGAGCTGGATTTTTACTGCGGGACAGGATGTTAGGGATCGTCCTCGGCCGGTCCCTCACAACAGGTGCATTCTGGGATACAGCAGGAGAAGCCAGGATGGGCTTGGACACCTGCAGGGTCCTCTGAGACATCTGGACAGGTGTGATGGTGGGTGGGGCGGAAACAAGAGTGGGAGGAGCTTGTGGAGTCTGCTGCTGCGAGTAGGTAGACATGATTATGATGTCGTCATCAGAAGCGTCTCCTGTTGGAGGATCAGAGGCCCCGCCCCCTGCGTTAGCTGCTCGGTGTCTCTCCTGCTCCTCCATCATCTTCTGTTTGGACGACAGGTACTGCAGCTTCCTCAGGACTGTCTGCTCACTTTTACCTGCAGCCACCAACACACCTACAGGTTACAACTACACCTGCAGGTTGCATCTCTGCCGACACGCAGACCTGACCTGAACGTCACTGACATCTGAGCTCACGACACACAGCTCCAGAAAACCTGAAGACATCCCCACCATCGCCATCACCTGGTTCCTCACCTGATCTTTGGGAGATGCGTCTGATGTAGGAGTTTCTCTGCTGGTTCAGAAGGATCTTCACAGACCTCAGTCTTTGCATCTCAGTCTGCAGAGTCTGGATCTGATGACGAGCCTGAAACACAGAACAACTGTTACACCTGGACTCAGCTGCTTCACAATAAAAGCCTTCCAGTGACGACAGACTCTGGCTTTTACTGTGGAAGTGTTGAGTTACAGTCACTTCATTGTTGACTACAGTCAATAATACCTGTAACTGTCACTTCCTGCTGCTCACAGTCAAATACATTCAGACCAGAGAGAAGAAGTCAGTGAACCTCTGTTTTCATTTCTTCAAAATATGATCAGATTTTCATCCGAGCTACAAACACAAATCTGTTCTGTTTCACCTGTTCTCACCTGTTGTAACAGGAAGCTCTTCGAAGAGCTGTTGCTGTTCATGGCTGAACGGAGAGCTCTGAAGGCGGCTGTGACGTTCTGAGCTCTGTTGAGAGATATATAAAAAAAAAAAAGTCACTTCACACTCACCTGTTCATTCTCACAGGTGTGTTTTTCTTAACATGAAGCTCTGTGAGAACCTGCTTTTAAAAAACTGCTCTAGAATCCAGGTTCTACTTAGATCATGAGACTGATCGATCAATACGTCTGCAGCAACAGAAAAAACAAACTGTTTGACTCATAAACACTGTCAAATATATCAGTATCAATACAGCTGCTCTGATCTCATATCAATACCCTGATCAATACTGTGATCAGCTCTTTGTTACTGTTACTCAGAGTTTGTTTTTATTTCTTAATTACAAATATTGGTCTGGTCACTATATGAAGTCAATCATGTCTCCATGGAAACAGATCATGTATTTCAGCCAGTTCTTACTCTGAGTTTTTCATCATCCACTCAGCCACATCCAGCTGACTGTTCTCCACCGTCTCCATGGCAACGTTCCGAGCCTTCCCCTCCTCCTGATGGAAACACAGAGACGTCAGGTAACACGTCACCTTAACACCTGCCGACAGGTGGGACTGAACCGTTTCTCACCACAGTGTCTGTCCTGTCCGCTCTGTCCTCGTCAGACGAGTTTTCCGTCAGCTCGTCCGTCTGGTCCGACAGATCCACCACCACCAGACCGGGTCTGGTCAGAGTCCCGGTCCCGGACTCTCTGCTCTTATCTGAACAAACACACAACACACACGCCGTGTTAGTGACCGCTCTGACGCACCACGGGTCACATCCTGGTCACTGTGTGCTCATCCCACAGCAGAGCGTCTTCATCATCATCATCCTCATCATCATCATCCTGTCTGATGAAGAGTGATAGCCCTGCGTTTATTTATGTCGTCGTCATGTTTTATTTTCCTGAAGCTGTGATCACATGATCGCATGAGAGAACAGACCTTTTCCACCAGGAGAACCTCGGGATCCTTGTCTCTGGTGACTGACCTGGGTCAGACTGTGGGGGGTGTGTCTCTGCTGTGAGTGGGTGGGGTTACAGTATTATAATCAGTTCATACCTGTAGGTGGAACCAGGGTGGAGAGGTACTCCTCCCTCCTCTTCATCAGCCTCCTCTTCTTCTTCTGCAGATCAGACTCAGTGGTCCTCAGCTCCTGGATCAGCTGCACCGCCTGCAGCACAGACACACCTGTTAGTTCCTCCTCACGCTAACTAGCTTGTTAACTAGCTGTTAGCTAGTTAACGGTCTGATGACGGGACTGAAAAGGTCAGGAGGGGGGAGGGGGAGGAGAGGAAGAAGCGTGTGATCAGCTGATCAGTGTAAACAGTCTGACCTTGTTCAGGGTGGAGATCTTGGAGGTCTTGTTGTAGTTCAGTCCCACCTCCCTCCTCAGACCCTGAAACAAATGCAGCATCCTCCCCCGACGCCTCCTCTCCAACACGTTGTGAATGTGTCGCTGTGCGCACACACACACACACACACACACACACACACACACACACACACACACACACACACACACACACACACACACACATCAAATACACTGAGGACGCACACTGATGTGATCAGCTGTGTTCAAACAGGAGGATTCTTAATGAAGTTCAACAGCCTCTGTTTCTCTGGAGCTTTATTGTGGAGGGACATCAGATATCATGACATCATCAGGAAGTGATGTCACACCCCCGTCACCTGTGGTTGAACTCAGGTAGAAACGTTGACATACTCTTACGTGCTTTTTCCTCTCTCCTCCTCCTGTCTTCTCCTCTTCGCTGGACAACTCGTCTTCGAAGTCGGACGAGTTTTCTGTCTCTCCGCTCGACGTCCCGACCAGGTCCACCACCTCTGTCGACCTCGTTTCCGTGGTAACGAGGCCCGCGTCATCATAGTCGTCCACACATATGATGTCCAGGTCCACCAGGTCGCAGGCCGGCTCAGGCTCAGCAGGGGGGTGCGATGGGGGTACAGGTTTGACCTCTGACCCTGGAGAAGGAGGCGGGGGGGGCGGGGTTCTGTGGGTCTCTGTGGGGCTCTGGGAAGGGGGGGCAGTCTGAGGTGAAGCAGGTTTCTGAGGGACCAACATCCCACCAGGACCCACAGGAGCCGCAGACACTGCCACCGTTTTGACCCCGAGCTCCGCCCCCTGACCTGCGGAGGGTTTGAGGGAGATGAGGTCCACTGGGGTGGCGGGGGGGTGGAGTCCAGGCTGGAGGAGGGTGAAGGAGCCAGCTGCCTTCACAACTTTGGAGGGGGGCTGGGAGGGAAGTTTAGGGCAGGTGACGATGATCGGCTCCTTGTTGGAGCCGGAGGGGATGATTTTAAAGGTGCACGTCCCCTTCTGAGACAGGAAGCCAGAGCCGGGGCAGAGGGGGGCGGGGAGGGGGGGCACAGAGAAGGACTTGAGGCCGGACAGGGGGGAGGGGGAGCTTATGGTTCCTGATGGACCTGAGGGGGAGGAGACAGAGAGAGAGTGAGATCATCACTGACAGTTGAGGATGAACAAACAAATGAAGAACTTGATGTTCTAGGTTCTCTGTGTTTCTGTTGGTCGGTGATGTCACCTCAGACCAAACTGACCAATTGATCATTGATAAGATGTTCTTCACACCCACCGTCATGTGGTGTGGAGTTTAAACTCTTATCTCTCAACAGCTCTGTCTGCTCAAAGTCTGAACCACTCCCTGCAGATTGAAGGCTGTCCCTGATTGGTCGCTCAGACTCACCTGTCACAGGTGGTTTTGGGTTGATTGGTCTCATCTGGCTGATGGGAATCAGCTGAATCAGTTTACCGTCTGGTCTGCGGTAATACTGGACACCTGACGCCGTCTGGACCAGCTGCAGAACCATCCTCTGACCGGAGGAGGGGGGGGGGGCCGGGACCTGGATCAGCAGCCGAGAGCCTTCAGGAGCCGCCAAGCCCAGAGGCGGGTTCACAGGTTGAACCACAGACCTGCTCACCTGAGAGTCTGGAACAGAAACAGCAGGGGGTCAAACTGAGGACCAGAACCCAGCAAGGATCACGAGGTGAATCTGAAGGGTCACAACATGATGAGCAGGTGTGTGTCTCACCTGTGAATCAGTTGAGACACACACTGAACATCAACCTTCAGGAAGGAGACTCAGGTGTACCTAATAAACTCACACCTGAGGCTCATACGTCTAAAAACTCAAACCTGCAGGAGTCAGGTCGAGTCTGGATCACATTCACTCACTAACACACAAACACACCTGGACCCGGTGGTTTTGGTCCGAGTCTCACCTGTGGCGGGGGTCGGCAGGGTGACTAGGGTGACTGGTCGGGGGGGTTTAGCGGTGGCGCTGGCAGTGAGGTTAGAGGTCGAGAGGGCGGTCTGAGGGGTCGGTCCTGAACTCTGGGTGTGGGGAGGTTGAGAAGAGGATGAGGAGGATGAAGAAGGACCTTGTGGCTTCCTGTTGGACCCCACCCGGCCGGTCAGATAAGCCGCCAGACGGTTTGCCGGATGGAGCGCCCCCATCTTCCCCAGCTGGATCTTAGCCAGAGGATAGAGCTTCCCGTTGACCTGAGACCAGAACCACAGAGAACGGATCAGGAGGTTTCTAAGTGACAGCTTGTTTAGTTTGTTAATATCTGCTCGTTAGTAAAGACACTGAACTTCTGCAGTCACGACCATATATGGAGTTCTTACCTGGACCAGGTGGTCAGTCCCTCCCGGCTGTTTCCTATTGGCTGAGAGAAATCCGGCGGGGGAGATCCCTGTTAGGAAGGGCAGCGCCATGCTGACCATCTTCTTCTTCTTCATCCTCTTCCTCTCTCTTCTTTTTCTCTCTGCCTTTGTTCTCTTTCTCCATCCACCCCTCCCCCTCCCCCTCCTATTATCCACCTGCAGAGGTGTTGATCCCTCCTCTGGGATGTCACCTTCCTCCACCTGCCGCTGCCAGTCCTCCAGAGGCTCCGCCTCCTCCATCACCTCCTGCTGATGTTCCTGCAGAGGCTCCGCCTCACATGTCACCTGTTTCAGGTTCTAGAGAGAAACACAAGACGTTCAAGACACAGCGTGTTCACATCGTTATCTTTGAAGCCGGGCCGTCAGGGTCTGTTCTGGGTTTGACCTCTGAACTTCTCACATGGTTTCATTTAATATGCAAACTGTTTATTTGTTGTGATACTCAGTAAATAATATTATAGCTGCTGTAGGGAAATATAAAATCAACAATTAATAATCAAACCTCCTACACAATAAAAGATAAAATAGTGATTCAGGCTTTTACTCTGAAGCAGCTGCAGCAGCAAGTGGAGGCCTGTATCTCATCTGACTATGATATAAACAGACAACAACAACGACATCAGCAATTGATTGATTATCGGATATCGGCTGATTGATTTCCCTCCGGTGGGACATGGTTCTCAGCTGTTGTGAGGAAACAGTGTGAATTCTTTCAGACCTGTGGTTGTTGTGGTTTCTTCTTGCTCTGGGTTCCTGGTCCTGCTCTCGGCGGTGCAGCTGGACTCTCCCGCTCCACTCTGGGTCTGGAGATGTGGATTTTGTACTGGATGCAGTGGTCGGCGCCGCTCTGCTCCACCGTCTGGCTGATGGGACTGATGAGGTACTTTCTGATCCAGAAGGGACCGTCCAGCCGGTCCTGAGCCATCGCCTCGCACAGCTTCTTCAGCACGTAGTTTCTGTCTGCGTCGCTCACCCACTTACACTCCGCCAGGATGATGAGACGCTTCGATGGCTTGGGGGTCGGCTCCGCGGGAGGACTGGTAGCACTGGGAGGAATGGGAGGACTGGAGGGAGTCGGTTGAGCTGGTTCACCTGCTGAGGAAAAACACAAAACCTGAGTCTCCGGGTTTCTGTCACATGACTCTGTTTCCTGTTTGATCGTATGATGCTTCATCTGATACAAATGAAGCTCAGCCAATAGGACGAGCAGAGAATCAGCTGATATGTTGCACATCAATGTTTTCAAAGTCAGACCAGTCACAGATAAGAAACATAACAATCTTATTTATTTATTATCATTATTATTGTTTTTTACAACGTGTGGACAGGACTCAAACCAGCAACCCGCTCCACCAGGTCAGTTGATGAGACCTGGACTCGTATGGACTGTCAATATTTGTTGTTTGAAAGTGACGGAGTTCAGACAGAAGACAACAAAGAGACAAAACAACCACAGCACCAGCACAGGGAGGCTGGACGACGGAAGAGAAGGGGGTGTCAGTAAACCTACCTGGAGGGGGACTGGAGGGTCTGGTCTTTGTCTTCAGTGTTGGGTCTTTCTGTCTCAGAGATTTCAGCCGGACAGATTTAGACTTCACATCTTTAGTCGCCTCCTGGAGGAAAAGTATCAGACAGTCAAACATTGTGCATGGTGTGTGTGTGTGTGTGTGTGTGTGTGTGTGTGTGTGTGTGTGTGTGTGTGAGAACTGGATCCAGCTGGTCCTCAATGTGGACGGAGACACAAACACTTCAGATCAACAACACAACGAATCAGCAGCTGTTCTGTATAACCCCGCCCTCACCTTCTGTTTCTGGCTCCTCCTCTTTCCTCTGTAACCTCTGACCCTGGCACAGCTGCTGTTACTCTCTCTGCTCTCCTGGAAACACACACACACACACACACACACACACACACACCTTGGTCAAAGAGTCCAGTGTGTGAGGCTCCACCCGGGTTCAATGTGTCCTCTGTTATTTGGGTGGAGCAGCCCTTTAATGTCTGTTACAGCTTCTACACTTCACAGATCTACGTGACTGAATGACTGTAAATGACAGTCTTACAGTGGCGGGGGGCGGGGTGGCTGCTTCAGGGACGTGGATCGGATCTGGATCTGAGTCTCTGCCGTCCCTCTTCCACAGAATCCGGACCCGCTCGGCAGGCTGGGAAACGCTGTCCGCCTCCTTCAGAACTACAGTCACACAGGACAGGAAGTGACAGGTGACATCGTCATACACACACACGCACGCACAAACACACACACACGTGCACACACGCGCGCACACACAGACTCCTGTAGAGCAGCTTACTGTTAATTTTTTTTTACTGAGCATTTTAAAAACTACACTACCCATGATCCCCCAGACTCCAGTCTCTTTCCACTCCGACTTACCGTAGGCCATCTTCATCCTCCTCCTCCTCCTCCTCTTCCTGGTGGTTCCGTGCTGGGAGGGGCTGGAGTCGGACCCGTCCAGGTTCTTGAGGAGGACCACCTTCTGTTTGAGGCAGCTGCAGCCGAACATGCAGGGGGGGCGGCCGCAGTGACTGATCCTGGAGACGTGGGACAGACTGGAGCAGACGCAGCCCAGCCTGCAGAACTCGTTCAGACAGGGGGGGGCTCGTCTCCGGATCAGCTGGAGGGGAGCAGTGGGGTTCTCGCTGACAAAACCCTGAAGGGGGGGCAAATTATTGATGAGTCATTGACTAATAATGAATCATTGATGAGTCCGAACCAATTAATTACCCTATCATTATCCAATCACTGAAGAATTAATGACGAATCATTGATTAATTATGATCATGTGATAATGTGTGTCAGTGATGTCCTACCATCAGTGTGAAGAGTGATGTCAGAGCGATGGCGGCCCTCTCCTCGGTGATGCTGGTCCTGGGTCGGCCCTCCCACACCACCCCGTCCTCCAGGTCTTTCTGTCTCAGCAGAGCTCGGGTCATCACAGGTCCGCTGTCCTTGTGGGCTTCATCACCCGGATCAGCTCCGGTCCCCAGCTCAGAGTCCGACTCCAGAGGAGCCAGGTCCTCCGAGATGTCCTGCGGGGGCTGCGTGGACCTGGGGGGGCTGAGAGTCTGGGATGAGGTCTTGGGTTTGAGTTTCCTCCTCCTCTTGAAGGTGGGGGTCTGAGGGGAGAGAGTTAAGGGTTCTGTGTGATCCAATTGAACCTTGAGCTGGTTTCTCCTGGACTTATGAGGTTCAGTGATGAGCTTTGATGGGGGGGACACAGCTGGGGTCGGGACTGCAGGCAGTTTAGGGACTAGGTTTGGTTCAGCTGGACCGGGCTCAGGTGTTGAAACTGGACCAGCTGCAGGTTCTGGTCTGAGTCTGGTCTGTTTAGGACCTCTCTGTTTCCTCTCTCCCTTCCTGGAGGCCTTCATCTCTTTGAGGGACAGTTTGGGTCTCTTGGAGGGGGGGACGAATCCAGATATGAGGTCTGAGGTGGGGGAGCTGACGCCATGTTTCTTCAGGACGCTGTCCAGGGTCCGGACGTAGCTGGTGCTCCTGGTGGGGAGCTCGTAGACCACCGGCTCCACCAGAGGCTGAGAGAAGCTGGCGGCTCGCTCGTCGATCAGCTTCCCCTCGTTCTCCAGGTACTCGTCCAACATGTCGCTGCAGAAAGCCGACAGGTTCTTCTTCGGCAGATCTGAACTGGGACCAGCTGCAGGACACCAAACACAACATTGAACACAAACACAATTATTTCTGTTTTCATGTTTCAACTACGTGTCTCGGCTTATTTTGTATTTTCACTGTAACTTGGATCATTTTGGAAAACCGTGTGTTCACATGGTCAAAGGAAGGAGTAAAGACTCTGTTTATAAAATGGCGTACACATGTTTTTTGTGTCTACGCATCATTTATGCATCTGGTCCCAGGTCTGATAACTCCTGACTTAACTTCTGTTCATATCAGTAGTCAAGGTTCACTCACTGTTTCAGCTTCTCTGTGAAAGTTTGAATCATGTTTTCAACGCAACGATTAGTGTTACTAGTTAAAACAGACTGTGTTTGTCCTAAATATGATCTGATCTTCATCTAAGTTACAGATTTTAACTTCTTCTTCCCTCTGTACGAACAGACAACATGAAAACAGGAAAACATGACGCCTCTGGTCACAGCTGAGAAGATCCTGCTGTTAGTCACATTATTCACAAAATATACTGATTAAATTATTAGAGCACAAAGAAGCAGATCATGGTCCACATCACGTGGTTACCTTCAGGTCTGGCTGAGGAGGGAGTGGGCGGAGCCTCTGATGGACTGAATTTCTCTCTCCAGCCTTTAATCTGAGTCACATCTGTGGTTTTTCCAGTTCTGGACACAAACGCTGCAGAAGCACCTGAAAACAGCAGAGAGGAGACGAGTCAGAGCTGATGGAGGTTAAAAAATACAACAGAATAAAAAAGATCTGCAACTGTCACTCAATTAGTCAATTAGTCAATCAACAGAAAACATTTTAATAACCCATTCATTCTGTTTCTTTTTGATCTGACATCACATTAAACTGTGTACTTGGGGTTTTGTTCTCCTGCTGATTCACAGACCAGCTGATCAACTGATTAATCAATAAGATGAATGATCACTGTCAGCTGCAGCAGTAAAACGTTGTCATGGAAACTAATAATAAAAACTAAACTAAACCCGTGACTTAGAACATTTACTGACACATGGATGACCCAGTTTTGAGTCTGGTCCAGTTACAGTATTAAATTATATTAAATATTATTATATTTAAAAATCTCAATATTGAAGTTGCCAATCAGAGGCAGGATCTGCAGCTTCATGCAAACCTGACTCAGGTCAGTGTGAAGGTACGAACCCTGAGACGGCGGCAGCTCCTGGGTCAGCGGCTCCAGAGAGACTCCGGGAGGGGGGATGGGCAGACGGACTCCCAGGTACTGCAGGTCAATGGCCAGAGTGGAATCCAGCAGGTTCATCTTCAGACCCACTGAGTTTAAAAGGACGATAACACGGAGCAGCTGTCACTTTGTGCGTTTCTCTAAGGCCCGCCTCCTCCCACAGTAATAATAGGGACTTTAAGCAGTGACGGTTGAAGGAACGGCTACGGCGTGATGCGAGGGCGTCGATTCTATGTCGCCCCTTCCTACTTCCTACTTTGTTTATATTCAATTACACCATTAGTAGTTTTATGGATTAAGAGAATATTTCTTAAAGACATGTGATAATTTGACAGATTTTTTACAGTTTATTCATAGACATGTCAGACAGACTGTTGTTAACCTCCATCCTTCCTCTCCAACCCCACTGTGCTGTGTATTGATGAAACCATGACGCTGTCCGTGGTGCTGAAGTGACAGATTTATTCAAACTCCTCATCTGATGTTAAATCGTCTCTAAAGCAAATATCAAGAGCTCTCAGGTCATTCTAAGAGACGTGTTGTAGCAGCGTTCAGAGAGACCTCTGTTCCCTGAAGAAGTGAAGTAAGCTGCTGTTAAGAGTTAAATCTTGCTTAGCGATCTTTGATTTCCATTACTATGGCAACACATTGGAATGTATATGGGCGCCGTAGCCGGCGCTTCAACTGTTGCTACTTGAAGTCCCTGTTCGGAGCCACAGAGACCTCCTGTTTCCTCCTGTCATCACATCCTCACACTGGATCTCTGAGGTTTTATTTCTGCTGCGGTTTATCAGCTCAGACTGAAATTTGACTTTGGTGTGAAAATGGAGGGAGTCAAATATGTTTCTGCTGATCTGATGGAAATATCCTGACACCAACACACTGGCCTGTTTATGAACCAGTACAACCACAGAAACAATTAACCCATCACATAATCTGTGGTATTGTTGCTGTTCTGTTTTCAAGCCCACTGATCAGCTGTGATCAGCTCCTGTCTGCAGTGTATCATGATGCTCAGACGATTATCACTGGATCACTGTGATACTGAAGGAAACTTAAAAACAGGAGGATTCTCAATGAAGTTCTGCAGTCTGTGTTTTACTTAATAACTTATTTATTTATACTTACTATATATATATATATATATATTACTAACTGCAATTCTGACACTTTCAAAAAAAGTGCAATTTTAAACTCATATTCTTACATATTTCTATTTTTTTAATTTATATATCACAATATAAAGGACATTTTTATGTATATTTCATATTTATATTTTATCTTAAAAATCTACTTCCTATTCTCTATTCTTTGCTGATGAAGCAACTGTACTTTAACCTAATGTCCCCCTGGAGGTCAATAAAGGATTCTGATTTTCTCTGGAGCTTTATTCTGGAGGGACATCAGAGATAATCACATCCTCAGGAAGTGAAGTCACACTGAATCAGATCAACATGTGGTTCAAGTCTGATTCAGAACTCTGAGGAGGACCATGTTTGACATCATTAATTCCTCACAGTGTCTTTGCCCCCCCCCCCAAGCTCTGCTGCGCCTCCCTGAGGAACTTTAGATGTTATTTTCGAACATTAGCAAGCTGATACGAACCTTCCTGCAGCACAGGGTGAATGACCTGTTTGTGTTTCATCAGCTTCAGGTCTCTGAGGAGAGTCTTTTCACAGACTGAGATCCTCTGCTCCTGACTCTCTGCTGGACATCAACACAGTTTCATTAAACTCACACTCACGTCTCATTTGCTGTAAATAAACATATCTGAGCTTGTTGCAACGTCCAAGATGTGGTAAGCCTAGCTTGGCAAAATGAATAAAGGGGTAAACTGATAGCAAGCATAGACAGATAGCATAATCAATGTTACAGGTAGTTGATGTTATGCCAGCTACAAACAGTTATAATTTGTGTAATGGTAGCTGTCTGTAGCAATAATAGCCAGGACTTTAGCCTGGTTCCTGTCACCTAAGCATTAGGAAATGTTCATTTCTAGGTCCTGTTTGCTACTCATTTTTGTTAACCTGCAAGTTAGTTTTTCGTTAGCTCAGAGTTAGCTTCAAGTTTAAGGTAGTTTAAAGTTAGTCTCTAGGTCACGTGTTTTTTAAGTGAGTTAGCATTTAGTTTCTTGTAGCTTGTAGTTGTTGCTTGTAGTTCCTGTAAGGGTTAGCTTCTAGGTTCTGTTAGAGTTAGCTACTTCAAAGTAGCTTAAAGACAGCTTCTGGTTCCTTTTAGCTTTGAGTTAGCTTTTAGGCTCCATCGTCTGAGAATAACTTTCTAGTTCCTGTTAACTTAAAGTTAACTTATAGTCTTGGTTAGCTCAGAGTTAGCTAGTAGTTCCCGTTATCTCAAAGTTAGCATGTAGTTCCTGCTAACTCATAGTTAGCCTGTAGTCCCTGTTAGCTCATAGCTAGCCTGTAGATCCTGTTAGCTCAGAGTTAGCCTGTAATCCCTTTCAGGATCAGATTTAGTCACTTGTTAATATAAACATGGTTTAAGTCAAATAAACCACCTAAAATTGTTGGTTGACAGATTTGTTTTTCTCTGTTGACAGAGCTAGGCTAGCAGTTTCCCCCCGCCTCCAAACTTTATGCTGAGCTAGGCTAACCATGTCCCTGACCTCTCTGTACTGAACACACTTGAATTGAACTCACATCCTTCATCTAACAAATAAACATGATCTGGCTGTAATAACAAGATAAACGTGATGTCACCGTTCTCAGGTGTCGTCTGAGGTTGTATCAGGTGACCTTCAGGTGGTGTCTGAGTCATCAGATGCCCTTCAGGTGGTGTCTGGGTTTGTGTCAGGTGACCTTCAGATGGCGTCTGAGGTCGTGTCACATGACCTTCAGGTGTTGTCGTCGTCTGAGGTTGCGTCACATGACCTTCAGGTGTCGTCTGAGGTTGTGTGTTCGTTTCTTCAGAGGAGTCTGCAATGTGAAGTTTGAGGGCCTCCTGAAATATGAGGTTTGGTTTTTAATTGCCTGTATACAAGTTATATTAAAGTCAGACACGATGTTATCAACAGTCGGCAGTCCTTCTACAGCCCCCTACAGGAGAGTGAAGTACAGGAGCTAACTGGAGTCAGGAGTTAACAGACCTGGAGTCAGTCAGTGAAACCAGATCAGCTGATGTGAACCAGGCCTCACAAAGATCTCAGAGACTGAGGCTACGTCCACATTACTACATTTTCATTTTAAAACAGTGTTTTCTAACGAAATTGATATCTGTCCAGATGAGCGTTTTAGCTCCATATCAGAAACGATCTCCGTCCATACTACCACACACATACATGAGCAATCACGTACACTGAGCATATGCGAGCCGGTGTCAACAGGAAGCAGATTGTTGATCAGTTGCATAAAATACAATGAGCAAGGAACAGTAAAGATAGCTGCAGTGTTGAAATGCAGAATTTACCTAAACAAGAGCTGCTAGAAAAAACAAGGTCAGTAACACTTGTATTTCATTATCATCTTGTATTCACCGGTGGTGAAGCTGATAAGGCCCAATTAGGAGCGACCATGGGTGTCTGTGTCGTCCATCCAGACTGCAACACAACTCCAGAGTTGTCAAAATAAAACATGTCCAGCGAGGTTTGCAAAAGTCTCCGTTTTCAGTGCTTGAAAACTCCGGAGTCGTGTGGACGGGAGGCATTTAATGTAGTAGTGTGGACGTAGCCTGAGGATGAAGGAGACTTGTTGAAGGGTCACTAAGTCATCTCAAAGAGTTCAGATCTTCATCAGTCCACAGTCACATGCACTGTCTAAAGATGGAGATGATTCAGTGAAGTAGACGCCCAACTGAGATGACTCCAACAGCTCAACACAGTAACAAAGAAGCTCAACAGCTGTTTAGCTTTAGGTTTTCTGACAGTAATGATGAGATCCTCCTCCTCAACCTGCTTCACACTGTTGAAATACTTAGCAGAAGTCTTAATATTTTCAACCATTTGGTATAAGTCCCACAATCTCTAGTATGTAGTATCAGTATCACACCACCACATCCATTTATCCTGACATGGTCTAAGACACACCACTATTACTGCATCATTACATTTGAATCATTGGACACATCAGCAGATAAAGCACAATTTAATAATAACGCAGAAAATAAACTGATCTTGATTCAAGAGTCAAGAGCCAATATCTTCAGCTGAAAACAACTTGGAAATGTACTCTTAATATTGTCTTTATTAATTATCTGACAGCTGTTTATTGAGCTATTGCTAACTTTCTACATCAAAAACTTCTCTCCGCCCACTGTGAAAGCTAGAAAACCACAGATGAAGAGAAGGTACTACCTGACAAGAAAAAAAGTCAAGGCACAGGAGCCTGGATGTGACAAGTCAGTACTAGCCATAAAATGTTCAGTATCAACTGTGGTATATTAACCAGTGGTGTTCTTTTTTACATGCTTAGTCCACCCGTCATGACATACTCCCTGCTAACTCTGGTGAGATTGTTTACTTGGAACAACTGTCACATTACAGTGGTGTGTTTTGGACTTGAGCTACATGGTTTCCGTTCCAGATTCAAGTTCCCTTTATTTAAAAATACAGAAAACATCCTGGGAAACATATTGTGCTATGGACAAATCTTTGAGACATAACAACTTAAGCTTTACCTTTGACGTGAATGAGATAAATAACTGCTCCTCCACTTCCTCCAGGTTAGGCTGCATGCTTGTATAGGTGGACTCATCAACTTTCAGATCCTTATTCATCTGGGCAAGCTTTCGCCGCCGGGACTTCTTCTTGCGCTTGCAGGGTTTGTTAGCTGGGACTGGCTGCACTTGCTGAGAAGGCTCCTGTGCATTTGCCTCTACTGTAGTAGGAGGTGAGCAGGTAACAGCCACTGCCTCAGTGTTTGAAAACTCCACCCCCATCGCGAGGTCATCATCGGTGGAGAAAAAGTGCACGAGGTCTGCAATTGAAGGCGTGGGTGATAATCCGTCTCCATCTAATGACGAAAAGGTTGGAGACAGTGGCAACTGGAGAGCAAGGGGGGACAGTTCTGCTGGGAAGGGCAGCGACTGTTCGTTCTCTTGAAGTGATGGTGGACTGCGGGGAGGAGTGGATACGGACATGTCAAGAGTCTGTGGTTCAGCATGGGAGGGAGTCGGGGAAGGCAACAGAGGCGACGCAATAGACACTAAAGGAAGCGTCTGTGATGTGGTCTGAAATGTTGTGAATGAATCGTCTATGTACGGCTCAGGTGGAGGTAACACTGTATGCCATTTGAATACAGATGCAGCAGAGTGTTCACTTGGCGGTAACTCTTCGGGAGGTACTGCTTTTGGAGTCAGTTCAGAAGTACTGCAGTCGAGTTGTAAAGTTAACGAGGTGGGCAGGGGAGGTAAAGGTTCTGGAGAGCATGTTGGTGACAAAGGCTCAAAACCAAAAGAACAACACTCTGGGTCAGGAAGCAAACTATTTGTGGTGGGGGGGTCAGAAGGTAGTGTGGAAGACTCAGTGATGGTTGGTGTTTGTGGTGAGTTCAGGGCAGGTAACACTGTGTCAAGGGCTGGTGACAAAATGGGAGATGAAGACGAGGTAGCAAGAGTTGAGGAAATGGTAGATGTAGATGTCCCAAAAGTACAAAATGGCTGATCTGAGTTGGGTAACACTAAAGTACCATCTGGTACTGCCAGGTCTGAGCCTGGGCTTTCTGCAACTGAAATGGGGACCATGCACTCATCATTTCTTGGTCCCTTTGGCTCTGGAGTAAGAACAGCACCTGGACATGACGGACCAGAAGGCTGAAGGGCCGTTTCAACTGCTTGTCCAGTGACATTAAACCCCATTTTACCTGGATGAACCTCTGCAACCGTATGTCCAGAGGTCTGATTGTCTGATTTTGTGAAATCATCGGTAAGATACTTCGAGGGACCAGCTGCATTACTGGCATGATCAGAAGGCAGACATGCAGAGGCTGCAGCAGAACTCTGTGATCCAGACAGAGGTTCAGAAGGGAGTGCTGGGGGAGGAGAGTCCGGCTTGCTTTTGGCCTTTTTAGATTTTGTTGAATGTTGCTTCAAAAAAAGTGCAAGGGCAGGCAGAGGTAGGGGCGCTGGACGTTTATGCTGCTTTACACTCATCTCTGATGGAGCTTCAGATTTAGGTTGGTGATCTGAGTCCACAGAGGAATTCTGGGACACCACTGGAGCAGCAACAACCTTACTGACCTCAGAATAATCTGTCCTAACATTGTCCTTGAAATCCAGTGAATTCAAAACGCCCTTGTCACCCTTAATTTTCCTCCTTGTTAAGGGAGTTTCACTCTTCTTTTCCGGTGATGTTTCACTATGTGTTTTTCCAGATACATTGTCTTTCTTGCAAACGTCTCTGCTGTTTTTCAAAGCTGTGGTTTTAGTGTTTGTTAGCTCAGTTCTATGAGTGGTGCTGTTATCGATGCCCAGCTCCTCCAGGTTACAGCGGTGTAGTGAAACGTGAGCCTCCCGAATAAGTTCAGAAAATAACTTCTGAGCTGGACGTGAACTGCTGCTGAAGGAATTCAAGAAATAAAAACATCACATTAGTGACGTCGGTATTATTAAACATGTCACTTATGATATACTGTACAACTGAACCATGACATTTGAATAACAACATACAACAAATAAGTGTCATAATTGGCTGGTGCTGCAAATTTATACGCACATTAGCCAATCACAGCCAAGCTTCACGCATCTCGCTAATATTTGTTGTTACAACTTATGTACCATCCCCCATTCACACATAAGGTCTTCAACACTGCAGGCACAACAGCCTGCCATTCATCATTAACAGAACCTCTGGAAATATCTTAACGCGTCCTCTAACAATTCATTCAAGCATGACCTGGAGAAGTTGAGAAAGGTTCAACTTCATGCCAATGATCTCTGATGTGCAGGAGCGACAACCCAGAATGGAACATGAGGCAGAGCTATTAGCAGCAGTTGAGTTGTTATCTCCAACTCAACTATGAAGTGACTGCAAAAGCCAATTGTTGCAGTAGATGAGAAACATCATTTGGCAAATGAGCTTCTTTGTTCTGCCCCATTAATATGTCAACAGGAGAAAATAACAGTCCAATCATAGCGTAATATGTAAACTATATGCCCATTACTAAACCTGCAAGCATACGCATGTGTGTAAAGGGGAAAGGCAAAGATACCCATTCTAGTGCAAAATCTTAGAGATAACTGGTGAGACACTAATCCAAACCCATGTGAAACCAACATAGGTGTAGAAGGTTTAAGATGTCGCCACATTTGGTGAAGGGTAAAGGAAGCACAAGACATGCAGTAACTACCAAAACACCATCAGGTTGTAAGGTGCATTGCCATGAAACAATATTTTAATATATTCTGGAACATGCAGATGGACATTTAGAAGAATCTGATATTCATCCTTGTACTCTCTTGCAAACCTTGGTACAAAAAATTTGAAGAGCACGTCATCTTCTCTATCAAAGTGGAACTCTTACCACAAACTTTCATCTGGAACCTTGGCAGGCGACTGATCTTTGTTTGTAGTGGAATTTTTCTGGAGGTCACTTGACACTGAAGGTTTTGAGTCTGCTGCTTTTGAGCTTCTAGGTTTATGATTTGCGAGCAAAGACTTCAAGCTCTTCTTCACAGGATGTTGCTCGTTGGTCATTGTGCCTCCATCTTTGTGTGAGTCTTTACCAGAGTTAAGTTTCAACTTCATGCCCCATGAAGTGGAAACATCCTCCTTCAGTCCTTTAGCAAATGGGTTGTAGTCGACCTTGAGCTGAGCAAACTGTGAGTTCTGGTAAGCAGTTACTGCGATAAACTCAGTCTGGGGGAAAGTGAATGTGACGACACTAGGACCATTTAGCTTTATGTCTTTAGCAGCTTTGTCAGTTTGGACTACATGCAGTCGTGGCAGGTAGCGGTGCATTGGATGCAGGATGGTGTTCCCCTCTTGGTCTGAGATGTTGTTTGTGAGCTTCAGCTTATAAAAGGACACTGGATTCTGCATCCAGTGTTGACCAGTTGATGGGGACTCTGGATGAGCGAATGGTTGTCTCTTAACATGACACTCTGCTTTCCCAGCGACTTGCCAGTTCTTGCCGGTCCACTTGTAATGACTGTTGTCTAAAGGTTGAATGTCCATAATCAAAGAGTACTTCCTAGATGGCTGCAAGCCAGAGATGCGAAAGCGGCAGTAGGGGAACATCCTGCTGCCTTGTTTAGTCAGAATCATCTCCGTTTTGCATCTGAAGAACTCGTTCCACATGCTGTTGTTGTCCAGTGTCACTCTGATGCCTTTGCAGCTGCTATCAGGTGATAGGTTGTCTGAATGAGGGTTTGAACTTGTTGGATGTTTCAAAGCAGGAAGTCCACCAGAAGTCCTGATGGCTTCCTTTGATGGGCACATATTGGGTTTACCCACCATGTCTACTTCTTCATTGGTTACACAGGTGCTTTGTTCCATCCCGCCTTCACTTGCCTTCCCTGGTTTAGGAACAACAAAGCATGCAGGTGGATGTTCGGCTGCAGGTGTTGCTGCAGGGGTGGTTGCCCCTTCGTGATGGAACACCATGCCTTTCCGCTTTTTCTTAGAAGACATGAACAGGTCCCAGGCATCTAAAGGACTGGAGGATCCCACTTTTTCTACATCTGTACAATGGTTCAAGACAGCATTCTGAAAAACAAAAGTGATAAACCTTCGTCAACTATTTGTCATTGTGCAAGCTGTGATGTTAGCTTTAGTTCCAGAAACACGTTATGCTGAGGTTGGATAGCCATCAACTCACTGCCACTCCCATTTATAACTGTGGGCTTCAATTCCCAGATAATGTCCTTATACAAGCTACATGGTGCAGAGTGCTAGATGTAGGACGACTGAAGTCTCCGGCCAAAGTAAGCGAAGACTTGATTGACTGAAATTCTGCAGGTTATAAACCTGTTCAGACATGGAACCTGGAAAATTGCTGGCTTCATTTTGTTGATGTAGTTTTTGGAATTTAAACATCTCTCTGTGACGTGAATTCATTTAAATTATTCATTCAATCAAAGTCATTTAATAATGTCAATTTGCTTACATGTTTTAAATGTAAAGCTTTGCAAGTTATGGTCTGATTATTATTGTGGGGTTTTTAGGGCTGTTTTGTTTTTCTTTTATCTCAGACTATAGAATAACTTAAATAAATGAAAGCACATTTTTACAGACTGATGTGTTGAGAGAAGGATTTCCTCAACAACGTAAAACTGGCAACGTTTTAAATAAATTGTTAAATGACATCAGTGCTTTTGAGAAGGCAGAACAAGAAGCGCATTTTATGTCCATCTCTGGTGATGTCATTAAATCTCATGTGCAGAATCAGATCAATACTGCATACGTCCTGACACCTGTATCTTCTTCCTCTGAGAGCCACAGAGCTCCACTGTTTCCACAAACACATCAGAGTCTCACTGTTGCACTGGGTGACATGTTCCTTCATTAACATGAACACATACACTGTACCACTATCCCGCTGCCCCGAAATACTCACTAAAGCAGCCAATGTGGATTAATCCGCCACTGAAAATAGTCCCCAAAGAATGCACTGTTTTCTCCTGTTTGTTTGATGAAAACGAGTGTCCAGCTGTTTTCTTAAAAAAATATATTAGGCATTTTATAGATGAGTTGAAGTGTAGAGCCTGAGACATGGGCGAAAGTGTTGAGAGATGAACTAACACATTGTTGGTTTGGATCTGCACATTGGATTTGTTGACGATTAAGGCTATGTCCACACTACTACGTTTTCGTTTTAAAACACATCTCTTTTGCTACATTTTCACCTACGAAAACAGAGGCTTTTGGAAACACCGCTCGATGCCTTTTGGTTTGAAAACTCAGGTGTTGCATTGCAGTCTGGACTGAGACCTTTAGAATCGATGACATACACACCCACGGTTGCTCCTGATTGGGTCTAATCTGCCTCGAGTACCAGTGGTGAATACAACACAGATTATTGAAATACAAGTGTTATTGACCTTGTCGTCTTTGGTAGCAGCTGTTGTTCAGTTAAATTCTGCATTTTAACACAATTGCAATTGTCATTGCTGTTCCTCGTTTATAGTATTTTATGCAACTAATCAACCGCAGAGATGACAATCTGCTTCCTGTTTAAATGCCCAGTGCACATGAATGCTCAGGTATGCATGAGCTTCCAGGTGTGATAGTGTAGACCGAGATTGTTTCTGATACGGACAAATACTCATCTGAACAGAGATTGTTTTTGTTTGAAAACGGTGTTTTAAAACTAAAACATAGTTGTGTGGACATAGTCTAAAAAGACATAACAGCAAACTTACTGTTTGAAATACACAGCAAAATCCATTAGACTCAGCAGAGAAAACAAAAACCTTAAGCTAACAAACTTGCATTTGCTACCTGCCCATAGCTATATTCTTGTGATTTGACACTCGCCATTTTGTCTCCATTTTAAAGACCAACCAGCAGGGAGTAAGTTCCCAAAGGTGACGACCTGATTATTGTCACAGTTGCCAAACCATCCAGTGGGAGTGTGTTAGCATAACACCACATTCTGCTTAGCATACCGCCACATTCATGACATGCACAATACAACCAAAGCGACACAAAACAACCACAAAACACATAGGACAAACCACATAAGATGCTAAACAGACACACAAGTTGCATTGTTTTAACTCTCTCTCAGTGTGGGGGTCCTGGACAGGATGGCTGGGGGCCTCTTATTTGTCTATGCCCAGGAGCCCATTGTTTCATGATCTGTCCATGCATGAACCCAAATAAGCTCAAACCAACACTTTGAGTCTTTGTGCCGTTGAGTGCAGGCAAGAAAAATGTCATTTAACACCTTATCTGGCATGTGTGAGGGAACTGAATTCAATGGTTTTTAAACACTAGTCAAACCTGCAGACGCTCTGTAATATTTATTTATTTAATATGTCTCTGTAACACGCATTAACTGATCTGCAAACTGCCTTCTATCAGCGGCGTGTAAACTTAACCTGATGAAAAATCTAATTAGTTTGACGAACTTAAGGCAAATATTGATCTAATGACGATCAATAACCACGTCTGACCAGTTTCAGCTCGACGTGTTTGAGCATTACATCCAATAAGATTCTTAAAGAGAGTGGAGCCTAGCTAGCAGCAGCAGGCCTGAGGCTGAGCCCGTTAATGGCTTCCCAGTAAACACTACACCCCCGGTCGGTCTGTCCCGTCCACACCATGTGCTCTGATAACAGCACATGTTTTACCTTCTGCTGCGCGAACACACCGAGTGTTACGACGGTGAACGTGTAATCCGAACGTTACCGTGTGTTTTTCCGTCGTACAAGCCTCCTCACCGACATCATGGATGTGTTCTAACTGAGGAGGGAAAAACAGCACGCGGTGTCCTTCAGTGTCACGTCATCGTCCGTCTTCGTCTTCTTTGGTACTGCGCAGTCTCGGTCGCCATCTTGCTGCTGCCACCTATTTTAAAAGTTGTACCAGAGCTTGAGCACCGACACCGGACGGATTTGCTGTCCGTTATCTGCGGAGGAGAGCAACGGGACGGCGGGATGTAGTCGTCTGTAGGTCTGCTCTACCTGTTGGACTGTTTACTGGCGCATTTAAACCGCCTGACGCCGGGACAGCCGCCATGACCGTGGCAGCAGGTTTTCTGTCGTTATATGAAGTCAAACTGGGACGTGATGAATTTCAGCGGATTAAAACGGACTGTGACATGATGTTGGCGGTAACGTGTCCACACTGAACACGGAAACCGTCTCCTGGTCGGCCTCACACCGGCGTCTTTAACGGAAGGGTTTAACCCGTGATCGGCGCGATTTATTTAAAAAAAACAGGGCGGAATGAAGCGCACTACTGTCTGTGTTTTAACCCGCTGGGAACCGGTTACCTCCGGCTGTGGATGTGAACTCGTGTCGCTTCGTTACATCTTCGGCTTCACCTTTGTTCATTACGGTAATCGGTGTTCGTGTTTCTCAAAATGGACTCGGTCGGTTTAACTGTTTAAATGTCGCATTTAGATTTCTCAGACTGGGGCTCGTACTTCAGCCGCCATTTTTGTTCGTCTCAGCTCAGACTCCATTATGTTTTCACCAGGCTGAGCCCAACAGGACGCGGCGGTGCTCGGTGTTCGAGCTCAGGGAGGGTCACATACCGACACACACGGGACGTGACCCGTTCACGTTGGTTCTCTAAAGCTGCGATGCAGGGTGCGGTAAACACGGACCGCTTGTCCCGCCTGTAAACACAGGGCTCCAGCCTGTTCTTTACTTTGAGCTCCGCAGTGACTGAACCGTAACTCAACATGAAGCAGCAGCATTGATTCATGAAGACACTGTGGCTAGAGGTGGAGGCACATTTACTCAAATACTGCACTTAGGTACTAATTCAAGGTACTTGTACTGTGCTTGAGTATTTTCCATTTCCTGCTCCTTTGATTTTTACTGCTCCTCATTCACTTGCAGCTTCAGTTACTGTATAAATCCAGATTTATACATGTATATAAATGTTGTATGTATACAACACATGAAGAGCTTATAAAACATGAGGCTTTGTTATAAATTAAACTGGTTAAAATGAATTATAACTGATTTAATGGCCGTTTGTCATTTATCAGACAAATTACCAAAGATAATTTAAATGTATTTCAATTTTATTTTGAAGTCTTAGCGAAAAACGCTCTGAAGGAGCCACTCCAGGCTCCAGGTTGGGTCTCAGTATTATTATTAAACCATTAATCAATAGATTAGTCCATGATGGAAATAATCATTAGCAGTAAATGCCGCTCAAACATGAACCTCGGCGAGTTACAATAATGTTTATAATAATAATGTTTATGTAATATGTAGACATTTCTCTACACTACTGACAGACTGACTGAAGTAAGAGTCACAGTAATTAAATATCAGAAGTACATGTTGAAGTATCAGTACTGTACACTGACTACTTCCTCCACCACTGGACACAGCAGCTTGTTTCAGATGTTAGTTTCTGTTGATCCGTTGTCTGACGGTGACGGACGCTAAACCGTCTTTGCGCGTCTGTGGCGCATGCGCTGTAGGAAAGATACTGATATTGATTCGCGGTTTAGTGTGTCTGTTGTGTGTGCATCGCTCAACACTATAAGCTGCAGCAACATATAGGTTAGCTCACAGGCCAGCTAACAGCTAACCAGCCAGGTGATCAGCCAGGTGACTGTCAGCTGAACCAGGCCGAGGGGCTCTCAGACAAACCCCGCCCTCGACCCGCTGTGGACGGGACTAGGTCTGCAGGTTCCCTCGGTATCTTTTTATGAAGCGGTGAGTGTTGACCCGGGTTTGACCCGGAGACAGAGGGAACAGCTGTGCAGTCCCGGTGTCTCCAGAGAAACAGAAATGTTGAATATGACGTCAGAGCAGGTACACTGATGTAATGAATGAATCACTTCCTGTTTGTATACACACGTCACTGCTCCAGTTTATCCGACAGATTTACGAACATCTGAATAAAATATTTTTCACCGTTGTCGAACATGAACACAACAATCAGCTGATACATGTCACGTTACTGCAGACTGAGTACTTGAAGTACCTGGATACTTGTGTACTTGTACACAGTCAACGCTCTCAATGCTTTTCCATATTAAACTGATGTAACGAGTCATTGTCACTGTGTTAGGAAACTAACATTTTTTTATATATTATATTTATATATTCTGTGCAGTGTGTGATCCTCCGATTCCCCTGTCTGTCCTGTGACGTAACACCCTGTGTGTGTACTCAGTGATCAAGGTGTTATTTTTCAGGTGAGTCAAGACGTCATCCTCGGTACTGGACTAAGGCTGCTGGTAATGAGATTAAATCAACATGACACAAAACACTTTATTCATTAGAGTCTCACGTGTTCTTCGTGTACAGGTGAGGACAGTGGTACAGACAGGTGAGGACAGGACCACCTCTGGTCTGGTCTGGTCTTCAATAGACCCAGGTCTGTGACCAGAATAAAAACAGGCTCCTTTCATCCCTAGTGACCAGTGGTTGAATTCAAACATGTCAGACACCATCAACACGAACCAGTTCATCTGTAAAATACACAATTCATCTTTACAAATACACGTTAGTGAGATAGAGGAGGTCTGGTCTGACCAGTGTGTGAACATCACTTACAGCAGCAGTCAGGGCCGGATCGGCCCAGTGCAGGGGCCTCACCCCTCAACCCCCTCCCCCAAACAGAAACTGAATCATTTAAAATAAGAGATAATTGACATTAAATTGTTGTGAGTTAATTGACTAACTGTTTTCAGCTTCAAACATTTTATTGTTGATTATTGTTGATTAATCTCCCGATAGATCGTCTCATTATTAAAATGTCTGAAAATAAAAACTGTTGGTGTCTTGTTGTTGACAAACGTTTCATCACTGAGTTTGAAAAAAGACACAATTATCAATTATAATTAAGTTGTTACCAATTAATAATCAATCATCCAGTGGTTTCTGCTGTAGATATTAACAATAATAAAAAAAACGTGAGCAGAGCAGCACCTGAGAGACATACTACACAAACAAACACAAACTACACGACATATTACACAAGGTCACCTGTGTGACCAGTAGCTTATGGTGGTTGATGACTGCTCCACCTGAACCAGGTAACATCACTGTCACATGACTCGGTCTGAGGACTAGTTATTGGCGGTCAGTTTAGTACCAGGTTAGTCAGAGAAGAAGCTGGAACCAACTGAAACACTGATCAAAATAGTGTCTGATTGATTTTCAGTTGATTGACTAATTGATTAATCCATTAATTGTTTCCCTGCAGGAGGCTGTGACACATGCTAATCTGCCAGTGTGTGTGGAGGTGGGGGCGCAGTGTCAGACTGTGTCCAAATAAAAAAAGATGACTGAAGTGGTAAATGTCCAGAGTAGAGCTCTTATTTTGAAGGACCAGTTTCCTCAGACTTCACAGTAAAAGTCTTAGCCATGTTGGAGCATGTTGATCTGACCTCCATGTTGTTCTGTTCAGCTGAAGATGATGAAGATGATGAAGATCTGATGATTGTCATTACCCTTTAATCTACTTATTAGTTACTCAGAGCTGCAGCAATCAATTAGTTTGATCATCACAAAAAATAATCTGCTACTGTTCTGCTAAATGTTTTTAGCTTCTGAAACATGAACACTTCCTGTTTCCCCCACAAGACGTCGCTTCCTGTTTCGTCACTCGTCGTCTTCCATCATTTTACTGATCAATCAATGATCCAATAATCTTCAGATAATAATGAAAAATGAATATGAATCTTCACCTTCCGCTCAGACTCTGGTTTGACTGATTTTGTGTGTGTGTGTGTGTGTGTGTGTGTGTGCGCGCGTGTGTGTGTGTGAGCTCAGTGTTCAGTAACGTCTCCACCCGCCTGCTGCTGCTCAGTGCCATGAAGTGAGCGTCTCTGATCAGCTGACTGACAGGTCCAATCAGGTGAGAGGAGGTGGAGCTCTGCGATTGGTCAGACGTTAATGACAACATCGTCCTCGTCCTCTTCGTCCCTCACCTCCTCCTGTAAGGTGTCCATTGACTCCCTCCTCCTCCTCCTTCCTCCTCCTCCTCCTCCCCCCGCCTCTCCCCCCACCTCCTCATCAGGGCCTCCACAGGGGCCGATGATGTACCTGTAGTCCCCCCCGATGGCCAGAGCGGCCCCGGACCCCACCATCAGCCAGTCTTTCTCCTCATCCTCCGCCCCCCCCTGCCAGGGGACACTCCAGCTCGCTGCCGCCGCCTCCTCCAGCCCCTGAGCCCACACGCCGCCTCCTCCCTCTCTGCCCCGCTCGCCCTCCTCCCCCTCCAGGTTGACGTACAGTAAAGGCTCCTTCTGCGGGGGGACGGGGGACAGGCTGAGCCACAGCGCCTCCAGCTGTTCAACCAGATGTTGGAAACTGGGACGACATTTAGGAACTGGACTCCAACAGCTGTGCATGATGTCATAACTGAAGAAGAGGAAAAGGAAGGAGAAGAGGAAGTGGAGGATGAGGAAGAGAATGAAAAGGAAAGAGAAGAAGGAGAGAGAGCATGATAAGAAAACTATAAAATCAGTTTAATTATAAAACAGATAATATCAATATTTATAGTAATTGAATAATAATAATGATAATATTTGATCCGCTAGGAGCAGTTTCCAGCAGGTTCCAGTCGGTTCCAGCTGGTTACTGTCGGTTCCAGCCGGTTCCAGCCGGTTACTGTCAGTTCCAGCTGGTTCCAGCAGGGGGCAGCCCTGTGGCTGAAAGTCATTTCAACCTGTTTAGTTTGAACTCTGAGCTCCACTGACGGAGCAGCTCCTGCAGATCTTACAGACCTGTTAGGTTTATATACATGGAACATTTGTGACATATATTTAGACCAGAACATTTAGTGACTGTGCAGTTGTAGTTGTGTAGTAGTTGTGTGGTTGCAGACTCACATGTCGTCCCTACAGTCTGCAGGTCTCTTCAGTCTCTCTCCTTTGATCAGGAACTCGTAGATTTCAGAGTTCTCCACTCCAGGATACGGAGTCTGACCTCGAGTCATGATCTCCCACATTGTCACACCAAACGCCCACTGTCAGACACACACACACACACACACACGCACAGTGTTATTGTAGTTCACCTGGCAGGTAGGCTCAATTTAAACACGATCCAGATGCATTATGGGAAATGTAGATCCAGTGTTCCAGGACAGAGAGCCTGGCTGTGTCCGAAAACACTCACTACCTCCCTCTATAGTCCACTACAGAGTGAGTTCACCATTATGTACTGGGCCCCGGATGTATGGGGAGAATTATTATACCCTTTATAGTGAACTCACAGTATCCCACAATGCATCATGAAAAGTAGTGTACAACTGAGGCTCACCAACCAAGCTAATTATATTATCATGCATTTGTGTGTGTGTTTGTACCACGTCGCTCTGTGTGGTGTACACGTTGTCAGCCAGACTCTCCAGAGCGATCCACTTCACAGGCAGTTTGGACACCGAGCCCTGTCTGTAATAATCTCCACTGTAGATCTTCTTAGAGAGACCAAAGTCTGCAACACACACCGTCATGTTCTCATCCAGCCTGCGACACACACACACACACACACACACACACACACACACACACACACACACACACACACACACACACACACACACACACACACACCCCCCGTGATAAATAAAGATGTGACCTTTCACCTGGCCCTGTGGGCTGATGGGAAATGTTGAAAACTATTGTAAATAAACTGTTGTATATAATGTACTGTGGTGTTTCTGTGTTAACATCAGTGTAGCTGCTGATTGGTGGACTCACATGCAGTTTCGGGCAGCGAGGTCTCTGTGGATGATGTTCCTGCTGCTCAGATACTCCATCCCCCGGGAGATGTCCAACATGAACTGGATCAGAGTCTGCAGGGACAGGTCCTGAGGGGGGGGACAGGAGGACTGGGTCAGTCCAGGTACGAGGACTTGTTCTTCATCTACCTGCCGCACTTAAAGACCTTAGACTTCACTGACTTTCTGCTCTGTTCTTTTGTGAAGCTCTAACACTGAAACCTGTTAATGTTACACCAGAGCTGCAGCCCCCTCAGCACTCACCTGTGTCACAGGTAAGTGTTAGTGTGACAGGTGAGGTCACCTGTAGAAAGAGTAAACAGTGAGCTCTTACAAACGGCTGCTCTCCCAGTCTGGACAGCAGCAGGAAGGTGTGCAGGTCTCCATGTTTCATGAATGGAAGAACCACCATCGGGATCGGCAGCCGCTGGCCTGGACGCCGGTGAAGACTGACTCCTATTGGACAGGACAGTCAGACTGTCAATCAAACCATCTGACCTTTGACCCCTGGGTAACATGTGTGTGTGTGTGAGAGAGAGAGTGTGTTACCAATGAGCTGGATGACATTGGGGTGGTGGAAGTCCTTCATGTAGGCCGCCTCCTTCAGACATTGCTCAATGTCACCTGATGAGGTGATGTCAGCTGAAGGAATACACGCACACACACACACGCACTATATTAATCAGCTGACTCACCATCAGCTCCCATACACCATGACACACAGACAGTTTCACCTGTTAACACCTGAGTTTCCCTCAGGTGTGTCCTGTCTGTCTCAAACCTCCCTAATCTTCATTAACCCACAGAAGAAGACATGTCTGACTCACATTTCAGCACTTTGACCGCCACTTTCTGGACAGATGTGTCCTCCGTCTTCAGGAGGGCCTCACGCACTGAGCCAAACTCACCTGCACAGGTACACACACACATTTAAACACTGAATATCTGAGTTTTATTGATCACAGTGATCTGTCTCAGGAGGATTGTTCTGGTTTCAGTTTGGTGTTTCATGGTGCCGACTGTCCTGACGTCTTCTTCTACGTTCTCTAACATTTACACTTTTAGGATCTTTTTGACACCAAATTAAAACTAAGATTGTGAACCAGGGAACTAAACTAAGAGTATCTGACGTAGTTAAAGCAGCTACATTAACATGACGCAGGATCACTGATCTGATCAGAGATCAGTCACAGGAGACACTTTTACTGTGATACTGTAACTGCAGGAAGTAATTTTATTGTGTAGTAGTTTGTGTAGAATTAGTGAAACGTCTTTCAGTTTTACTGCACATCAGCACTTTGTGTTTGTTTTGTACACACACAGACTGTGTACAACACACACATATACACACACACACACACACACACACACACACACACACACACACACACACACACACACACACACACACACACACACACACACACACAGAGTTGGGGCTGAAAAGGGACATGGAGGACGAGGCACTTAGTACAACTCATGGTCAGAGGAGGGCAGGGGGTCGTCATGACACCAGGTTCCTTGACCTTGGTCACCAGTGATGTCACTGTGCTGTTTATCTGTTCTGTGCTGCACTGACGTCCCTGAGGAACCGCAGTTCACCGTGTGTGTGGATATAACAATAAACCTGATGCACAGGTGAACTCAAGTGACATCATTGCTGGGTGTGGTTACAGCTGTTGCTGTTTGGTGTTTGTCAGTCTGTGTTGTTATTGTGCCGTCGTTGTTGTTTACCTTTCCCCAGCATGTGTCCCAGTGTGATCAGTCTCTCTTGGATCAGGACGTCCTGCAGTTTGTTCTTCAGGTCGTTGTTTATACCGAGACTGTCCACTGGAGGGAGACACAGACACAGACACACACACACACACACACACACACACACAGTTTAAGTAGTGGCAGTGTTCAGTGAAACCTGAACCAGCTGCTCCAGGTCCAGGATTCACCTGCACCTGCGTGCTCGTGGAGCCACGCCCCTCTTTGAGCGATCCAATCAAACGTAAGAACTGGATGTAACGCTACACACAGCTGAGACTCCAGAGGAGACATCTAGAGGATTCAGGTTCAGAGTGACAGTGAGCCTGTGACAGGTTGTTGTCGCTCAGACGGAGGATCTGATTGGCCGGCAGGCAGCAGGTAAATACAGGTAGCAGTGTTTGGTGTAAACAGACAGGTGAAGCTGCTTCATGCTCATCAAACCTTCTGTCGCTGACTGACCTTCCTCTGGGTTCACACTGTCCCCTCAGCCCCCCTGGATGGACCTGAACAGAGACCCCGTCTAACCAGAGCCAACAGAACATAAACCAGAGACCCGTGTGGACTCACGTGTGGACTCCTGCAGCTCTGCACAGGTTCTGTTGAAGGACCGAGCTGCTGTGAAGGAGACGGAGCTTTCAGGACCTGGACCCTTAAAGACCGAGCTGGACAGAGAGACACACAGTCACTTCCTGCTTCAAACTGGTCTCAACGCTCTCTAATTAAACTCCAGTCTCTCTCAGAGGTTCGTACCCGAACTGCGTTTCTTTCCCGCGGCGCTGAGCGACGACAGTGAGCAGCAGACCCACCACGGTGGCCACCAGCAGACCGAGCAGCAGACCAACCCACATGTGGCTCCGCTGGACCTGGACCTGCACTGAGGGACCAACAGGGAGTCAGTCAACCAGTAAACAGTCAATCACATCATCTTTTCTTATTCTGGTAACAAGTCCCCAATTTACCCAGTATAACCAGTATAACCTGTATATCCAGTAAAAACTGTTTACCCAGTTTATTGATCTGTATATTCAGTAGATATCTGCTGCAGCCCTGTGCTGGTCCCAGTTTCAGACCCTGTGCTGTGGTGGTGCAGGATTTCTCCTTCAGATTTAATGAACCATTATAGACCAGTGTTTACCTGAGGCCGGCAGCACCAGCACCGGGGGGGTCCAGGGTCCACAGCCCACTGAGGTGCAGGCTGAGACCTGGAAGGAGGCGTTAAAGAAACGTCCTCCTCCTGACAGCTGAGCCATGTTCTCCTTAAACAGCAGAGGCTCCTGGGAAACACAGGGAGACGTATATAAAGATTAAAATAAAATAATAATAGTAAGAACAACTACCTAACTGTTAACTCCTAACTGTCACTGTTACCAACAGAGAAAAGAGAAAACAGCATCAAAGAAGCTAATAGAGGCTAACAGAAGCTAAGCTAAGGTAACAGCAGACTGGAAGAAGAAATCTAATCCTAATGAAGTCATTGAACACAGCAGCAGCTCCACTTGCTTTAACAATAACAGCATCAGGTTCAACACGACATTGAACGCACCTTCAGAGAAAATCTGATCACGTTTAACTTCCAATTAAAATCTGATTTAAAATATGTGATAGTTCTCCTGCTCAAAGCTAAAGAGCTGAACAGCTCCAGATCTTCCAGGACCAGAACCGTTAATGAAAACCTGTGATGAATCTGTCTCCAGTCAGCATGAACCAGAACCAGAAGCAGAAGCAGAAGCAGACCCTGTGACCTGGACTCTCACCTGTGCCTCTCCTCTCAGAGTCCACTGCACCTTGTAGGCCAGCAGCTTCCCCTGCAGCTCGTCCTCCTCAAGCTTGGCCCAGGTCAGAGACAGCTGCTGCTCCGAGAGGTCAAAGGTCAGGTTCCTGGGGGCCGCCGAGGGCGCTGCACAAAGGTCACACACAGAAGTGGAGTTAGTAACATGTGTCATCAGCAGCTACAGACGGATCAACAGCGGACCTGTGACCCTGCAGATCCAGGACCAGAACCAGACTGTGAACTGCTGATCCAGATCAGTCTCTGATCCACACACACAGAACCAGATCCACATGGATCAGGTGTCAGAGACCCTGCTGCTGATAGGACTGACACTTTTGGTCATGTGTGTTTTCTTTGAATATCTACAGGTAACTGTTGCCAAGGCAACAACTGATGAATCCACAGTGATGTGTGGTCTGGTTGTTGTTGGATCAGAACTGCAGCTGCTCCATGACTGAGTCAGTGTTTACCCCCCTGGCTCCGCCCCCCCACAGTGGGGCTGAATGGCTGCAGTGTGGCAGCAGTCAGTGTGATGTCAGTGGCACCTGCAGGGGGCGCTGCAGAGTCTCAGTCCTTTCATATGGATTGAGGCCACAGACAAAAGCTGATTGTACGGAGAGGACTGGAATCTGTTGGACCAGATCCAGCTGGACCACCAGCACTCACACACATTCACACACACAAACACACAACACAAACACACAACACAAACACACAACACAAACAACAGAGCAGCTGAGCTCAGCTCTAGCGGCTCAGAGAACAGCAGACATGACTCCATCAGGTCTCTGATCCTCCATTAAAACCTGAACCGGTTCAGTCCCTGACTCAAACCTGTTTCCTGAGTCTGCTCAGATCCTGAACTTCGGTCAAAAAGTCTCAACAATCTCCGTTTTAATCACCCAGTCAGCCCCCGCCCACCCCCGACCGATCGAGCTGCCCCTCCACCCCCCACCGCCCCTCATGTCCCCTCTACTCTTGAACTGGTTTCAGGTACTTTCCTTACACCAGAGTCCTCCTGCCTCAGCCTAGAGACATTAACTACAACTCCCAAGATGCATTTAGGCNAACACAAACACACAACACAAACACACAACACAAACAACAGAGCAGCTGAGCTCAGCTCTAGCGGCTCAGAGAACAGCAGACATGACTCCATCAGGTCTCTGATCCTCCATTAAAACCTGAACCGGTTCAGTCCCTGACTCAAACCTGTTTCCTGAGTCTGCTCAGATCCTGAACTTCGGTCAAAAAGTCTCAACAATCTCCGTTTTAATCACCCCCCCCACCCCCCACCCACC